ATTAAAAATTAATTTTAGACAAATCTCTTTACACATTATTCTTTCACAATGCAGTCATTTTGACTGCTTTGGGCAATATAGGTATATACTAAATTTCAGTCTTTCTAGTGTTAAAAATTGAATTAAAAAACGGTATACTGCTACATATTCTATTTTCTTTGCATCATTCTCATACAAAAAATATAATAATATATAATATGTAAGTAGGATTGTAATGAATCATAAACTATGCACACGGGATCACAGGAACTGCGTCTGAAAGTAAGTTCATATGCGTGTGTTTCAGCGAATAGCTCGACGACGGTCGCTGACAACGGGATTGGTACCGGACGTAGCCAGCTGCAGATGGATATCACACGCGACGAGCTGAATGCAACTTTCACGTGCAAAGTCAACAGCGTTGCACTACCAGAGCCACTGACCGTCGACATCAACCTCGACGTTCATGGTAAATAGCACTCACTATCATACGATCTGTCATACTTCACGAACGCAAGAACGATAGTCAGGGAGTGGGAAAAATAAGTCTGTTCCACTCGATATTAAAATGACTAATGCAATTCATTCGTGGAAACATATTTTGCTCACAATCTTTTAAAATGTGACGTGTAATATGTGCAAATAATGGAATATTGTAAAATACAATAATAATTGTAAAAGATGTCAGATAAAGATTCTCTGAGATACGCTGAGATATCACATCCTTTATTCGCCTACGCGTTCTACAAACTGTTTCAAGGATATCTATCTATATATCTGTGCGCGACTATTCCCCGGTTCGCTATCGGACACCATTGTCCGGGAAAGTGAATCACTCGATCCGATAAGCGTTTTCTTTATCCGCGCCTCGATCGGCCGGGGACGTCGAAATAATTCCGAGACCGAACTTGAACGTTCCTCGCGATCGGGTGCACGTTTATCTCGGCATCTAGTAGAAAAGACCCTTTTTTAAAAAGCCGAGAAAGAAAGTTCCTGAAGAGGGTGTGAAAGACGATCCCCTCGCGTTACCCTCGACGATTTTTCTCTCGACCGCTCCGAGAAGAATTGAAACTATTTTTTCGAAAGCTTGGCAATTTACCAAATTTAACTTATGGCACTCGTAAACTAGTCTTGTTGGCTTTCGGATTTTTTTTTTATTAAAATTCTGCGATTTCTTAAAATGTGCATATCGACAAAACGATGGATGACTGGATTTATATTTGTTAATAAAAGGTGCTGCTAAAATTGGCGTACAACATTTATACTATCGTGTGTGTATTTACTTATACGAGATGCTCTGACAGCGAAACGGAATTAAGCAAACCATACGCATCGTTTAAATGAAACACATGCGATATGCACGGGATGATTAAATTGTCAACTGCGACTCGTACAGGGGAAGATTAATGTTTTTTGCACTGGACAATACAACGAGCCCGAAAACGGTTGATCAATTCCCTCAATTCAGGAAAGTTTCGTTGGGAGTAAAGCGTGATCTATGAATTACAAACGAAGTCAAAGGGCGGAAGTCGGTAAATTATTATCACGCCGCTAACAGTCATAAATCACCACGCGCCGCGCCGGTTCGCGACATTAAAAAAGCCTTTCGTTGAGACTAAGACGGCTAAAAAATTCGTGTGACCCTCTGATCCCCTCCTCTTTCGTCCAGTTCCTTTTTTTCCCTTTCACCCTTTCAACTAAATACAAGCATAGATACAGAAGCGGATTAAGTACGGGTATTTTGCTCTAACGCGTGGACCTTTTTCCCTCGCTTTGGAACGTGAAAAATGATGCGCGTATCTCTCTAATGAATTTCGTTCACAGCGGGACAGCGTTCCCTTAATGCGATTCTCGCCAATTTATTTCTGTCAGTTACCCTCGATCTCGTCCATTTCAATTCGCCTCGTTCTTCGTCTTAATTTTCGCGATTCGTCTCTGCCAAGTAATTATCACTTGTAATGATCTCGATTAAGTGACGGATACTCGTTTGATCAGATGATTTCCTCGAATGTCTTAAGATACTTTATTTGTTATTTTATGTCAATTATGAGCTTACTGGTTCCAAATTATACAAGATTCATCAAGAGTACGATAAAAGTGCATCAAATAATAATTGCAGGCTTAAAAGTTGTGTAAAATCATTTTGAGAGCAACAGAGTTCTCCGTTTTCTAACTCCAAAATTGGCTTTTGTTATTAAAATTCTGATGAGGACGGCGATCGACGATGGAAATGGCGAATGAATAAGTAAAAGTTCGCGTGATCGATTCAAAATATGCACTGGGAGGGCGGTTGAAAGTCGGTCGGCCGAAGATAGGATCAAACAGAGGACCGGGATTAAAGAATGAAGACCGAAGCGACGGCACCAGTGTAGATTAGAATAATTTATCGCGGCGCTGATACACGTTCCTCTCGTGTTTCACCGCGAGAACAAATCGCGTTCGAGCTATCGTACTGTCGACAAGAGTTATACTGGCCGGGTTCAAAAAGCTTCGACGAACAGCCGCGGGAATTCGACCGAACTCGCCAAGTAATATCCAGTAACCAACGGGAAAAACAGTAAATTGATAAATCGATTAGATAATCGCGGTTAGATTAAGAGTCGAGCTTGTTTCCTGTCTGCCGGCATTTCTAGTTACCGTGGCGTGCGATCATTTACTCGTTAAATTCGAATAAATCTGATGGAAGGGAATGAAATTTTTGATTTATGGCGCCGGTAGAAAGATTCTCTTCAGGGAGTTGTGGCGACGCGTTGTTTGAAGTTGAGGTGGGGTGATTAATGTTTCAAAGGGGCTTGTGAAGTTCAAAGTCTGTACGCTTTAAGATACGTAAGATGATTTGAATTTTTAATTCGACGAGACAGGAATCTGTACCAGTGTTAAAGAATGTATTACGAAACTTGGAATTAAAATATGCTTGCTTTTCTCTTATTTCTGAGGGGAATTGAAGGCAAATATAAAGAAAGGATCAGATGTCCTAAGGAAAGTCTCGTCTTAGTTAGTAATTAGTCACAGCAAACGTTTTCGTGGGTTTAATGAGTAAATAATTTTGACGAGGATAATTATGGGAGCAAAAGGTATCTGCAGACGCGTGCCCGGTTATTCAGGCTCGTGTGCAAACGTGAACAGTAGACGTAAGTCCCGTTGCCTTAAAGGCAAATAAGTCGGGTCTTTGAGCCCGAGTTGGAAACTGGAGAGTTTGTCGTGGCAAAAGCGTGTCTCTTTTGACAAAGTGTCGAGGGGATTATCCGCGGCGAACGGAAAGAACGGGCAAGGATGAAAGAGACTTTGACATCGGCCACATATATATTTATCTATCCAGTGTTCACGGCGCAATCACGAATTGTCACGGGAGCCAACCGCGTTCCTCGATCTCATTTCTGTCGTTGACAGACATACGCAATTAGATGGAAACTAGAAAAAGTCTCGAGCCGATGCAGCGGTATACACATTTAATCTTTCAATGAGTTTTATAATAAACATGGCCTGTAAATTGAGGTATGCGTCTAATTTTGACTATACCTATGAAGATGACATAGCTGATGAAGGATGCACACAAAATGAAAATGAACTCACAGCTCAAAGTTTAAAATCGTTGAATTAAACTCCCAATTACAACGTCATGATGAACTTATAGTTAGTGTTGATAATAAGTTCAATGGTTAGGCTCGCTGTGGCAGTCAAGTTGCAACTCCTCTGGTCAGTCTATCTCTCCCTGAAGAGCCTCGAGGGATGAGGGTTGGAGATTTTTTAAGCTTGTAACAAATTTTTTGATTGGATATGGATTTTGAAGTAAGAATGATGGAGTGGGAACTAAGAGAACTGCTAATAAGAGTGCGTAGGTTTGTCGGTTATGAGGGAAAAATATTCGCCGGACTATACAATAGAATATCTATGCAATAACTGTATAAATATGGCCATAACAGTTTATGATTCTAACTCAGAATTTGTGAAAGAAGCGTTTTGCTATATGTGGCGCATGTTGTACGTATATGTTGTAATAAGTGAAATTTCGGATTATGATTAATACAATCGTTCATATTATACTAAGTCGGTATTGCGACGGAACAATCTGTTTGCGATTCATTTCCTTTGTAACTTCATACACCATGAATTTCTATTAACGATACGTATTGCGAATTTGTATTTGAAGATTAAACTCTGCTTTTGATATTTCTGTATTTCCATTTGAATGCGATTACTGAAATGAAAGAGAAGTTTACTATTTTAATTGGATACACAATATTAATATTTACTGAAGCATTTATCAAAAGTGACACATTAATTAATTATATTGTTGCGTGGAAACGTACGTGCAAGTTTACTCAACAATTTACTCAAATATTTGCAAACATTTGACAGATTATTGCTACAATTTTGAAAAACAATTGTAATTACTATTGCGTGCAATGGAAGAAGAGTATGTAACGTGAAATCAATTGTCGCAGAAAAAGATACTAATAAAAAATCTTAATCTTCGCAGAAGATACATATTATACGCATTATCTTTTTTAATGAATCAGGAAACGTATTAAAAACAGTCACGTTCGCAATTATCTCGCTGAATATTTAATTTCCAGCTCGTGTACGCGTTATTATCGCACGATCGGCGGACGATTGCGTATTCGACATAATGCAATTAACGATTATTTATTTATTTGTTAATGAATGAATAATGTAGAGTTCGGATAACTCGCTGCAAAAGGGAATCCGTTTAATAATCGTTCCCAATTATGCTGCCCAGCCACGGTTAATTAATGATGTAATATTTAGATTATTTCGAGTTTAATTAACAGAAACGGCAATACGAAATTTATAAAAGGGTATTATTTATCACACGTGTCTGTTTTTGTTTCCTGTGATTTCACCGATAATTAGTTATCGTGCTCTATATATTTAATTTAATATGAATATTAAGGATGTATTCATTTTATTTATAAATTGCATTGATCTGTCAGTCACCGACTAAAGTATCAAAAAGTTTGAAGACCCGTAACGTTTTAAACCCATGAAACTTCCGACGTTTCAAGCGGAAAAGCCCCCCCCTCTTTAAAACACCGTTTGATTCATCTGTATCCGATTTCTGGTTTCGGATATCATTGTCTGAAAACGAGCATCACTTTTTCGGTGCCGCTATTGTCGTCCTTCTCGTCCTCGCATTTTGAGCGGTTCACGGACCTACCCTAATCTCTGCCAACCGATACAGACACCTATGTAGCGTAACTATTGTAGGTCACTGTATCAGTAGTACCAAACACTGCGCCTAAACTTTGGAAACTTATATCTTTGGAACGGATTGAGATATCGGGATAAATTAAAAGCGATTTTATTCATCTTGACCTCCTCTATCAATTGAAATGCTTTTTAACTAAATATTTACTATCCTTGTATCAATTACACTGTCAAATGTTCTATAGAAATTCATATTTTGTATTACCTAATAAATAAATAACGTCAGAAATAAATTGCCTT